TTCTCAGGCTGAGGTAGGAGAATCATAAATCTAAGGCCAGCCTGTAATACAGTTTTTCCTTTTCTCTTTTTTGTTTTGCTTTGTTTTTTGGTAAATTTCCTTTGCTGCTTAGAGTGGCATAAATAATTTAAATAGATATTTTTCAATAATAAGAACGTTCAGGAAATAACTCCTACAATATACTTCTCAGAACCCAGCATGACTCCAGAAAATAACACATGGGTAGAGGCATGCTACATATAGAATTATGCAGTAAAGGAAAGGAGTAACACTGTTTACATAATCCTTGCAATGAACAAACTGGTATAACGAATAGGAAATAAGATATTTGTGAAAAATAAATTATTTACAAGTAGTTGAATCTTATTTTTCTATAAAATTTATATATTATCTATTAGACGGTTATAGTTTATCCTCCTGCTGGGTGGTGGTACACACCTTTAATCCCAGCACTACAGGAAGCAGAGGTAGGCAGATTTCTGAGTTCCAGGACAGTCAGGACTACACAGACAAAGCTTGTCTCAAAAAAGACCCCCCCCCAAGAAAAAAATATACTGTGTATTGCTTATGTCTATAAATTATATACATACTCCCACACTTGATAGTTGTCATTTTAATAGCTAAGAGATGTCTACTGGTGGCAATTTTCTTTCTTTTTCGGTGAGACTAATTTGATATACTAAAGATAATTTAGTCTTTCATTTCTTGTTTGTGTGTGGAATCTGAAATGGAAAATAATCTAAAATCTCCAATTTCTTTTAACAACATGGTCCTTCAAGTGGAAAATTCCACCTCAGATCTCATGTGATAGTTGATGTCAAAAACAGGCATTCAGCATACAGTTTATTCAGCATCCTCAAGGAGGGATCAGACACCCTCTTAGTTCTCTTCAGCTTGGAGTTCTTCCTCACGTTGTCCAGTACAGTAACACCCACAGAAAGGAAAACATTTGTGCAGTCCAGATGCACCGGTGACAAGTTGCATGTCCCCCACAAGGCTAAGATCTACCTGGCTTTCACACTTGTTTTTAATTTTTGCTTTGGAATCTAAAATTAAAGCTCCCAGATACTGGGTCTATGAACAACAGGGATACGAGAAAGAAGTATTTATGTTTTTCTATGGCACAGAAGCTTAAGTTGCTAGAGCAGCTGGGCATTTGGGTACTGCACTGTCTAAAACCTGTGGTGTTGAATGAGGTCCAACAGAGGAACAAGGATGTACTGTGTCAATAAATGATGAAGGTAATAGAAAGCAGATAAATGATGCAGAAAACTTTAAATGATGGTCTTGCTCATGTACAGAACAAGGGATCCACCACTCATAATGGCCATCTGCCACTTGATGCTTTGCTGCTCAGTAAGTAAGTAAAGATCTGTCTTGACTCAGGGAATGCTCTGGGGACTGGTGATTCATTGATGGACTGATTACAGGAATGTAAGGAAAGACGAAGAATTAATGTTTGAAGATTTGAATTGACTAAAGATCTGATCACAGGATATCAGAGTTTCTTGGTAGACTTGTCCATGCCTTGATTATGATGATTTTAGCAGGACAAGTCTACCTACTGGGTAGTCTGTGCTCTCTAGCACATGCATAGAGTGTAAATCAACAGTGATGGGCCAAAGTTCAATTACTTACTGCTATATGAGTTCAGTGTAGTCTTAGACTAACAAGAATGCAAGGGTCACTAAAAACATCTCATTTGTTTTAAAAATAGTTTCCTTAAACAGTAGTTCACGCTCATATGACAAACCTGAACTGGAGGAGGACAATAGAACTTTATTATTCATTTTCAATGATTTTGCTCATTCTAGGTAAAATTCTCTACAAAACCCTCATTCATGCCATGTACTATACTGTAAAAGTAACTTCTTTGTTCCTTAGCTTAAGAATAAAGACTTTTTTTTTTTTTTTTTTTAAACCACATTAATAGCAGCTAACAGAATCATGAGTATGGAAAGTTTCCAGAAGGACTTTCCCCCTCCCTCCCTATCTCTTTCCCTCCGTCCCTCCCTCGTTTTTTGAGACAGGATTTCTCTCTGGCAGTTCTGGAATGCCATCTCCAGCCAGGCAGTCCTTGAACTCACAGAGATTTGCTTGCCTCTACCTCTAGAGTCCTGGGATTAAAAGCATGTGCCACCACTGCCTGGCCAAAAGGAGTTTCTTAAACTCAGGGCATGGTGACCCATGCCTGTAATTCTAGCACTTTAAAGATAAGAGGCAGGAAGAAATTCAGGGTCACTCTGGGCTTCATAGAGCTTAAGATCAACCTGGATGCATGAGACTCTGTCTCCAACAAGTAACAGAGGGGAAAGGAGCCTTTGTATAACCAGTGACCTCTGTGCTATTACCCGTGCTTGGAACATAGCAATTAAAGACACAGTTGTGCCAGTTTGGCACAATTTCTGCCTTCCAACTTTATGTAGTAGTGGATTCAGGATTCTGCATTTCAAGGGAAATACCATTAAAATTTTTAAAATTATTTGCCTTAATTATGTGCTTTGCCTGCGCATATGTCTGGTGCCCACGGAAGCCAAAATAAGGTATCAAATTCTCTGGAAGTAGAGTTACATATAGTTGTGAGCCACCATGTGGGTGTTGGGAATTTAACCCAGGTCCTCAGAAGAGCAGCCAGTATTCTTTCTTAACCACAAAGCCTTCTACACCTCCTCTCCATCAGAGGTCTTTCAAGAGAGATTTCTTGACACATGAAAAAACAAACAAACAAACAAACAAACAAAAACAAAAGACCAATGTGAGGCTCTTACAGTATGCTGGAAGAAATAGATGTCAGCTTTATAACTTCAGTTCTGACATTTCAGTTGTTCATTTGTTGTCCCACGATGAAATAGTCAAAATGGTTGTGAACCACCATGACTCTGACGATAGAGGTTAAGAAGATTATGTAAATAACTGCGAAAGATGATGCTTTACACAGTGCAGGGGGCTTAGAGCTATATGCATTCATAACAAAATAAATGTTCATTTTAAAATCAGATTTCTAAGGTAAAACTTAAATTTTGTATGTGTGAGTCTGTGTTGGTGGATCCTGAATGGGTATGTTTGCATATATGGGCAGAGGACAGCAGGCTCAGGTGTTGGTCCTCAAGTGCTGTCTACTTATTTTTTGAAAGAATTTCTCACTAGCCTGGAACTAGCTTCTCTGGCCAGCAAGCCCCAGAGAGACATACCTATCTCTACCTCTCCGGCTGTAAAGTTGAAAGTATGCACACCATACCCAAGCTTACTAACACTGATGGAATCGAACTGAGGTCCTTACATTTGTTAAGACAAGCACAGCACTGAATAAGCTATCTCAACAGCACGTGGGAAACTTTCTTAAGATGTTAGGTCTTTTGTCATGAGACATAACAAAGGGAAGAATTGCTTAAGCTCATGTTTTCAGAAGTTCCCTACAGTCCATCCCAGTCAGTCCTACTGTTTCTGGGCATGAGGTAAGAGAGCATCATGGTGGTGTGAGCATGTGGTAGAGGCTGTTTATTTCATTCAGGACAGTATGCAGAAAAGGGAGGGGGATATAGGAATGTACCCAAGCAAGATACACAGTGCTCAAATACACAGTCTCAGTGATCCAGGACCTTGAATAAGCTCTACCTGCTTCCTACCCATTCCACCTCCCAATGCCATTATAGTAGTATTTTAAGAAAAAAAAAAATTAAACCAGTGATTAGATTATAACCAAATGCTCACCAACTGTCAGTCAGGCCCCAATACTTGGACCTGTGGGAACATTTCAACAGCCATCCAGTAGAATATCCCTTTATCCCTAAGGAAGGGACTCATTTCTAGATCCCTCAGTTGCTCTAGATTTTTCTTGTCACCCTGAACAAAGAAAACGGTATGTATATGACAGCATTTGGGACACTAAGGCAGAAAGATGGAGAGGTTGAGACCAATTTGAGCTGTACAATGGGACCTTGACTCAAAAATATATTCAAACTGGAACAAACTGTACAATAAATAGCTTTTGCCTATTTTGGTTGTGAGCCTAGTCTTTAATGGCTGCGCCATCCCTGCAGCTCTACAATAGCCTCTTGGTCATAGAACATCACCACAGGTGGGGATTGAAAACCTGCCTTTGGTTGCTGTTGAACAGCTGATATTGGCATTCTGGAGCTCCTCCTCTGCTGCCCAGTTTCCCTGAACACATCTTATCACTGGAGTGACGATATCCCAGTTATTTTCATGTGAGCAAATAAAAGAAATAGTAATTTATTGGGAGCATATAAACACAGACTAGTATAATATTCCTAACAACTGCAGATTGCCTTCATGATTGGTAGAGATAGTATTATCTTTGCTTCCTGTTGTCATGATATACACACTATATTCATTGCAATAAATTATTGGAAATGTTTATAAAGTTTTCTACAGGATTGCATTTGTAGCATATATATGATACAGTTTGGGGAAATGACTGAGTGTGTGAGTGCTTCCTGCCCAAATGTGAAGACTGGAGTTCAGATTCCCATCATCCATGCAGGAGCTGGCACGGTGACAGGCATCTGAAACCCCACCACTCGTGTGGGTGTGGGGGGAAGGGGTGGAGATAGGTGGCTCCCTCAACCTATATGCAAAAATAAAATGGAAGGTGATTAAGAAAGACACCCAACATACCACACAGAAATTTGAATTGTTAAAATAGCCACAAGCAAGGATTACACTAATCTCCTTAAAGATTATGGAATACTTGAAGTGATCATCCTTTGACTTGTTTAATATTGTGCCTTCCTTTGTTTCCATTCAGTGTTGTGTGTTTTGTTCTATTCAGTAAGGAAAATAAAATTTGTTTGAATATTTTTTTGTATGTTCCTTCCCCAGTACTAGTGTTAGAATCCGGGTTGTGTTAGTACTGCTCCCAGACTTTGATGTTCTTCACTGTGTTGTTTCCCCCTTATTTTCATTCCTACTAGGTGCTGTTCACAGACTTCACTAGACTCAGAAGGATTTTTATGCTGTCTTATTTTTCCCTTGTTTAGAAATCGAAACGAGTTGGCTGAGACTCTTGCCCTCCTGAAAGCACAGATTGACCCTGTACTATTGAAAAACTCTAGCCAACAGGAAGACTCCACCCGGGAGAGCCCCACTCTAGAGGATGAGCAGACTAAGAAAGAGGAAGACACACCTAAACAAGGTTTTTTTGTGTGTTTTCTTTTGCTTTGTTTTGTAATCTCTTCTATTTTCTATTCTTCCACCCAACTATATAATCCTGATTTTTTTACCTTAACTTTTTCAATTGATAGCATTCCTATAAAAGACTTTATTTCAAAGGGAAAACGTTTGCTCTTTCAGATATTTAAAAGAAATAAATCAAATATGTTCAAGTCATTAACACAGTGTCTTACTAATTTTAGAATCCTGACAGGTGTGGTGCCACTTGTACTCTCCACACTTGGGAGGCAGAGGCAGGATGTGCTTCTGGCTAGCCTGAACCAGATCAAAGCAGTAACAGTGCTAAGATTTTATTGAACTTGTTGTTCAGGGTGTGGAAAGATAGATCAGAGACTTGACAATTTTAAACACTTTTAGGTTTATAGGGTCTGGAGCATTCCCGTCCTACACTTACATTGTGGTCTTCCCTTACTAAGTGTCTGAACATGTTAAACATTAAGATCCTGTTTTCTCCATCTGCAGCCCTGGGATCTGCTTTTTGTCTATAAATTTGATTACTGGGAAGTTCATATCAGGAGAATCAAAAACTGCTTTCTCTTGTTTCACTTAGCATACTGGCTTCAGGTATCTGTATTAGTGTATGTGTGATGGTTTCCTTTCTTTTAAGAATGAATAATAATTCACCTTGTAAATACCACATTTTGTTTTTCCGTCAGTGACCATTTGAGTTACTCCCTCCTTAAGGCTGTTGTGAATAATCCTGCTATGAACATACTAATACAGATACCTCTTTTATTTATACTTATGCTATATGCCCACAGGTGAAATTGCTAAATCTTATGATAATACTGCTTTATTTTTGGAGACTTTACTGTACTGTTTTCTTTTCTTGAGACAGAGTCTCACTGTGTATCTCTGGCCATTCTGGAACTTACTATGTAGACTAAGTTGGCCTCAGACTCACGATATCCATCTCCCTCTGCCTCCCCAGTGCTGGGGTTAAAGATATAAACTATCACACCCAGCTTTTGGGATTTTTGTTTGTTTGTTTGATAATTCATCCTCATACATATGAAATGCTATCTTGTTCTAGGTATTATTAGTCCCTAATGACTCGTGGTGTTCAGCACCACTAGTGCATATTGATCTTTTATATATCTTTGAAAATGTATTTATTAAATTCCCTTGTTTTATGCTCCTATTGTGTGAGTTAAATGTCACAGTGTCTTGAGCTCCTAGGGTCAGGTAGTTCTCCTGCCTCAGATAGAGTAGCCGGGATTATGTCACCATGCCTGGACTGTCCCATTTTTCCAACTGGAATCATTTGTTCACTTTTGTTGTACTAATGCCTAAGTCTATGACAATTATAATTACTAAAGCTATTTTCATTGAGTGTGTTAATTTTCTATCCCAACAAATGAACTCTCTTTTTGAAGAAAAGAACTAAGTACTGACTTGTAGAAAAGAAGCCAACTAATTCTAATGCACCTTCATGGTGCTGGTACATGTATGTGAAGGCCCCTGGTCAACTCAGGTTTCAGGAATGAGATCAAGGAATTCTCATATATGTATGGATGTACATACGTATGTGTACACCCACACCCACACCTGGAGAGTGTGTGTTTATATACATACATATCTTTAAAACTTTGTTTGCTTGCTTGCTTGCTTATTTATTTATTTATTTATTTATTTATTTATTTATTTATTTATTGGTTGATTTTTCAAGACAGGATTTCTCTGTGTAACAGTCCTGGCTATCCTGGAATTTACTCTATAGACCAGGCTGGCCTTTAACTCACAGAGACCCACCTGTCTCTGCCTCCTAAGTGCTGGGATTAAAGGTGTGCACCACTACCCCTGGCATTAGGTTTTGGTTTTTTGTTTGTTTGTTTTTGTTTTTTCCTTTTTAATGATGGAAGGAATTTGCATTTACATGCCCTGTCATTCCACTTTGTTTTATATTTTACATTGTGTGATGCTTTGAAGAAACTGTTCATGAAACAACCCCTATATGTAGGAAACATTGCTTGAAAACCAATAATCAAGTCTCCTTGTAGTGAAATGATATCTCTACACATTAAGCATTTCTGTAGTTAGATCCTAGTTATCATGCTTCTTTGACACATTGCTCATATGATTTCAGGTACTGGTGGTTGTCTTATTAGTAACCTATGTTTTCACATACAACATATTTGGGCTGCTTTGGTAAGGCATAATAATTTTAACATATTGTATTCTAGAGGGGTTTGTTATTTTTTTTCTGTTTTGCTTTTATTTTTGTTTATTTTAGTAACTTGCTGTTAAAGGTTATTCTGGCATAAAAACTGATACTATTTTGTTTGATTATTCAGTTCGGTCATTCATTTATTCATTCATTCATTCTTTGTATTTCTTTATTTCCATTCACAATAAGAAAACCCAATCCGTGAGATGTGAGTGGCACACACTTTTAATCCTTGCACCCAGCATAGGAGGCAGAGGCAGGTGGATTTGAGGCCAGCCAGGGCTATATGTTAATAAAAATTGATTAAATAAATAAGTAAATAAATAAATAAGTAAACAAAATAAAGGGGTTGGAAAAATTAACTCATGGTTAAGAGCCATGGTTGCTCTTCTGGACACAGTGCTTACCAACTATCTGTAACTGTATAGTCCGCTCTTTGGCCAATGAGGACAACTAGGCGTAAATATGAAGGTAAAACACCCGTATACATTAAAAAAAAAAGTCACACAGAATATGGGTGGGAACAAGATAGAAATTTTTTTCCCCTTCTGTGTTGCTATGGCTGTCCTGGAGCTCACTTTGTAGACCAGAATGACCTCTCACAGAGATCTAGGATTTAAGGTGTCCGCCACCACACACACACTTAGTTGCAAAATAGTGACAGTTAACTGGGTTTAGAACACTTTAAATTTGATTTTTATTTATGGTGCTGGAGAGTTGGATCAATAGTTAAAAGCACTTTGATACTCTTGCAGAAGACCAGGGTTTGATAGTAAAGTTTTTTTTAATACTTATTTTATTATTATGTGGGTATGTACACGCACAAGTGACTATGTGCCGTGTGTGCTCAAGCACTTTTCCCCACCCCATTGCCTTGGTAAAGTAAAACTCTTCCTACTGTATAATTAAAAAAATTCCTCTGTGGGGCCTCAGCATAGAGGGAGGGAAAACATGGTGTATAGGAGTGCTTGCTTCTTAAACTTATGTGTGCTCATTGTCCCCTTGAGGGCCTTGGTGGGGATCCTTTTTGCCAAGTATCTATGTGATGCCGCTGCACTTGTCAGATCTGTATGGGGAGGAGCATGGCATATGGAAGCTGTTTTACTTTAAACACATCTTCCAAGACTTTTCATATAGCTGTTCCCCAAACACTTCTTAGCACATGCAGCTGGTGTGCTTCCTGGTGTGTGATAAAGGACTTGTCTGAGAGGAGCAGGGAGGAGCAGGATATTGGGGTTCTATTTTTTCTCTTTCTTGGTACCCAAATGGAGCTCAATGAAGAGTACCTGCTGAGCTCACGTGCTGCTGTGGCTTCAGACTCATGCACTGCAAACACCAAAGACAAAATTAACAGATTAAAGATTTCTCCCCCCACCTTCTGAAATGAGGTCTCTCAGTATATGTATTATACAAGCTAGTCTTAACTCGGGGTTTCCCTAAGAAAATGTTTCTTATTCATCCTTTTTATGAATATTAGCCATCTTCTTTGACGAATCATAATTTTTTGCAAGGAAGTTCAGTAAGCAAAGCACAACAAAAATAGTTGTTTTTATGAAATTTACGCTGTCGTGGACAAAATAACTTGTGAGCCATTTACTTGAGCCTATTTTGTTCTAAAACAATCTGTACAATACTAAATTGCATAATCTGGAGCATAAAACTCCACAAGTTTTCAGGAACCCAAGTGGGTATCAGACTATAGACAATATTACAACTTATATAAAAGTTTTTCCATACAGGTAAATTTTATTTTATAAATTCTGTACAGTAATAAGGTAAGGACCAATAAGATAGAACCCTTGAATAATATGCTGTAGTAAGCTACATGGATATGGTCTATCCCTTGTTCACCCCCACTCCTCTGTGCCTTTTTCCCTTTAGGATTAAACTTGAATGGTAACTGAAGCCATAGAAAGTAAAACCATAGACAGGGGAAGCCTACTAGATATAATTACTTCATTTTTCCAGGGAAATAACACAAAAGACTGTTGTAAGTAGGTTTTCGTTGATTACATAGTCTGTTACTTGCCACCTCAGTATTCTAGCTGAGACTGTGTATGTGTATATGCTGAGGTCAGTGTTGTTGAAATACAGTCTCTCATTGAGCCGAGCCCTCCAATTCAGCTGGAATGGCGGCCAGTGACCCTCTTGTTTCTGTCTCTTCAGCTCTGGGCTAAAGGCAGATAGATGTGCCAGTGCTCAGGTTTTCCATGGCTGCTGGAGTACTTTACTCACTGAGGCATCTCTCCCCAGCCCTTCTGTGCCTGTTGATGCTGCACTTTTGTGTCTCTTAGGAGGTAGCTCATCCTTCAAAACCTTACCTTCTATGCTGTCCTCTCAGGTGTAGAGGTAGTGACCATGATCTGTCCTGGGGTGAGATTAAAGAAACACAGTTCTTAGTTGGACATTTTATCCCTCGTTTGTCAGTGAACATTGCTGGTGGATTTGGTAGAAAATGTGAACAGCCTTCAGCAGTGTGTGTGATGTAGTTACAGTTGTAAGGCAGAACGGTGATGAAATTTTAAAAGCGTAGTTGCAATTTGGAAATTGGGCCAAGAAGAAGAGATGGTAGATCAGCACTGCAGAGAATTTTGATAGATTTTGATTCAATGAGTCAAATGGCCAAGCTTTAGACTTAACCTCAGCAAGATGATTCTATCATTTCTGTTTAGTGGGTGCTAAGTTAAAGTACATTACTGTAAACTTATGCACAAATTTGAAAATGACAAAAAATAGCCCTGGAAATTTACCAGCAACTGGATACTTAGGTAATTAGAATTACATTTGACAGCCGG